CGCTGGGAGCTGTAGTCTCCCGGCGCCCCAGAGGCGCCTCCCGGCGGTACGGGCCGATCCCCCCGTTTAGACGCTCGCTGGGACCCTCAGTGTGCGCTGCGCGCGTCCCCCCCGCCGCAGAGGCGCTCAGCGCTGTGGCCCTGTCGGACTGGGCACCCCTTTCCGGCCCCAAAGCTGGGCCCTGCCGCTCGCCACACGCCGCCTGCCGCGGCCAGGCCGGCGCTCTGCACGCCTCTGGAAACCTTGCAACTTCATACTGAGTCATGCCAAAGCTGCAGAACTGCAAGGTTTAGGGACCGGCAGACTCTGGCACTTAGGAGTCCTGATCCCAACATCCTGTAACCAATTTAAAAGCCGCAAGATTTTAAACGAACGTACACAACTCTTATGAACTCAAACAGCTGCCTTCTTGTTTCTGCAATTTCAGTTATTCAGTTTCTCTCTGCAGCCATGAAGGCTCCGAATTTCTTTCGTTTTTGTTCAATTACTTGGAAAAATGGTGACGTGATAGCCTCACTGAATGACTTGGGAAAACACCAAACAGAAAAAGATTTTCTACAAAATTGCAAAGTTGGCAACACTGAACCCCATGCCCGACACTGGACATTTCTCCCTTCCCTGGTACACCTACCCACGCAGATTAAATGAGGACTCTTAAAAGCAGTTAACAACGCTCCTGCTCAGAGACCACCATACCCAGTTTTGATTTTACCAGCCTCCAAACAAACAAACAAATATTCTGAAAACAGAATCGCATCCTAGTTTATCATGTCTCTGAGCACTTCTGGGGAGTGATCCCATCCAACTCATCTTCCAGTGCAGCCAGGAAGCTTTTTTTCAATGAGATAACAAGTTGGGATGGCAAAGGTGACAGCAGCGATAAAAACAGTCTTCTGCAACGTCTCTGACTTAGTGCAACACGCTATTTTGAATTAGAGCACCCTCCCACTGTGCCACACCTTACGGAAGCTGGCTAACTAAAATCTCAACATGTAACTGCAAGCAAGGAAATATTCTGACTGGGATTTATGCTGGACTCTTAAAATATCAAACATCAAAATATTAAACATTTTTATCGATGGCCTGGAAGAAGGCATAGCATCATCACTGATAAACTCCACAGATGACACAAGGCCTGAGGGAAGGGTAAATAATTAAATGGACAGGGCACTGGTACAGGGTGACCTGATCATTTGGAAGGTGGGGGCAAATAAACATGCTTTTCAATACGGTCATTTACGAGGTCATTCCTTTAGGAGCAATAAGTGGAGGCTACACTTACATGATGGAGGACTTTATCCTGGGAAGCACAGAATGCAAAGGACAAACGAATCGTGGTGGATAACCAGCTGCGAATATGGTGCTGTGACCACCAAGCGCTCCTGGAACCTCAGCTGTATAAACAGAGAAATCAAGGAGGAAAGAAGTTATATCACTTCTTGAATTGCCACTTGCTGCTAAACTGTGGTGTCTAGTTTTGACATGCTGATAAAGTGGAGAGAAATCTGAAAAGGGACATGAAAATCACTGAACAATGAGAAAATGATTTTCAGGGAAATATCACAGGTCAGTCTATTTTGTTTATGGAAGGGAGAGCTAAGGAGTTACAGGACCATATATCGTAAGTAATGACAAAAGGGAGCAAAAACTGAGTGATGGTCTCTTCAGTATACCTCGCAAAACTATCTGGAGCTGAAGTTAGAAAACACTAAAAGGAAAAAAAAAACAAGCTATATTTTAAACCGTAAGGACAACGAGAACTGGAACCATTTATTAAATTATCTACTACTGGCAAGTCTGTAAGACTTTCCTCTAAAAGTTCTAATGTAATGGAAGTGAGAATCAATTTTGGAAAATTTTACAGTCATTGCTACTTAGATTATTGAATTAGACGATAGTGGCCTCTTCTTATTCATAATCTGCCCAGATCAATATGATGTATATAAATGCTCAAAAATAGTCACAGGGGAAAACAGACGCACTTTCATTTTATGTATTTAATTTTAAAATACTCTCAATAGATTTCATCTAGAATTTTTCTCTTTCTGGAAAAAGTCCCTGCGCATAATTAAGGTAACCCAATTAAAATGTTATAAACAAATGTGTGAATAGAATAATTCTTTTTTCACTTTCTCTTCTGTTCTCACCTTCTCTCAATTTGTTTCAACAGAACACCTGGCTGATCACTTTAGCTACAAACAGGATTATTTCAATTTTTCAAAGTAAAAGTTTGTTTTAGAAATTGAAGTAGTTAGTACATGAAAGCATAAACTGAATAATACTGATGACTATACCTTACAATTATTCCTGCGTTTTGCAGAACTGAAGTTTCTTAGACAGCGGATCTGGATCATGTGTGAGATTAGCTCACATTGCTAATGGAAGTTCTCAGGCACTGATAGAGTTTAGCAACAGTTTTGCAAAAAACCAATATTTTTAAAAGAAAATCTTCATATAAAATTTGTGTTGTTTTAGCTTAGACACTCTAAGGAAATAAGTAAAACAAAGGTTGTAGGATGAGGCACTATCAAACTAAGTTGATAGGGGAGGAGAAATGAAGCAGCCTTCTTCAAGTATCACATTCACTTCTTGAATTACTGCTTCTGACCTCAAAAGGTACTCGAAAGTCTGCCCTCTTCTTCCAATGATACCAGGTAATTTACTAAAAGATATCACCTCTCCCCACAAATATTCTCTCTGTAATAATAAAAAAGGGCAATTTTAGTTGTTGGGTTTTAGGCACAATCTATGAGCATTTCATAGTCAGAATCCAGCAGAAAATCCCACGGATTCTCTTCAAACCTTTTATACAGTCCACCTGGTTTTATTTCTGCCTTCTGTATTTTTATACCTGTGGCACAGAACACGCTAGACAAAGAACGTCCTACCCGTTAGCTGCAATTTTTATGGAGAGAAGACCTTCTGGAAGTGCTTTTTCAAAATCCGTGACAATCAACACGATGAATAGCACAGATTCACTTTGATGACACTCACTCATCCTCCAGGTATGAAACTACTCCAACCTATCACTATGTTCTGTCTCAGTGCCCAAAATCTTACTTGAATTTGTTACAGTCTTTACTCCAGGATGAAACTTCTGTTGGTTAGCGTTCATCTGGCTGCCTCTGAGCTTGCTTTCACCACAGCTGTAACACAGCAGGGCAGAGTTTCAGCCAATTCAATTTCTCTTTATTAGGTCTGCAAATCTCTTTTCCTTACAAAAACTTTTTGAAGCACAATCATTTAGAAACTACTACACTTTCTTTTGCAGCCAAATGAACCTCTGTCCCTTCTCAGCATTTATCATCATCAACTCACAGATACATACTTTATTTTATATAACTGCCTGTGCTTACATAAAAGCACATGTACATATTGGAATAAAACCACATTTAACCCAACAGTAACAGGGAGAACATCAAAAAATTAGAAAAAAAACCCTTAACTTGCTACCAGAATTCTTCAATTGCAAAAACTTGTGTGTCCATTGGGGGAGTGGGGGGACTTAACATTAAACAAACAACCTGCCTGCTTCCTGAGCAGATCTTTTACTTATTTTGTCATATAATTAGAGCTTTACAGAACTGGAAGGAATGATGTGAAATGTTTTCCCCTGCCGCTATCTGAAAAGCAGCTGAGGCTTTTGGAAAGCACGATTATATTTTAATTTATATCTGTGATACCTAACAGTTGCCTTGGGTACAACTTCTTAGTATTTCCTATCAGGAAGCCTTAAGGAATGGTACAAATATTGAAGTAACGCACTTCAGAAGTGCACTTTAGAAAACAGGACCATCCGAGAAACACATGCAGTTCTAAAGCAGAACTGGTTGAACACACAGCGCAATACCTGTTACGAGTGTGTGTTTACGAAAAGCTTTAGGGTCACAGTCAGATTCAGAACTACTCGGCTCCTACTGGCTGCATTTTTCAGATTGCCTCAGCAAAGCTGTGGCAAGGGTTAGGCAAGTTGAGTACCCAAAATGAAAGAAAATACATCAAAGCCAAACCAGAGGCTGTTGCTTCAGCAGATAATTTTGTCCAGGGAAAGGGTCTACAGCTCTCTAGCAAGGGCTGGGAGGAAGAAAGCGCTGTAGAAATCTAGGAGAGGGCAAAGAGAGGATGGAGGGTGTCCTCCTGGTGACAAAACATCTTACAACATTTCTGGGATCTTAGCACATCACGGTCTGAGTTTTCTGGAATATCTGTACAGAAGTGTCATAAGGGGAATTTCTGTGTAATGAGTATTTTTGAGAACCTGGCTCTAGTTTAGGGAACTGTACTCTGGAACAATCAGACTCTACATTAAGGTAAGCCCTGAGTGAATCAATAGCACATTAAAAAACCCCAAGGCATTCAGACCATCAGCGAAAATGTCTGCTGCCACTTCACTAACAGACCATTTCATTACTTGTGACAATGCTTCATAACAGCTTTGCACATCTTCTGTATTGTAACTTGTCCAAATGAGGAAGTGTCACATCTCTAACAAGGCAACTCACAGGAACATCCACAACTCTTCTTTAGAGCACTCAGGAAACACAGAGCATACTGAGGAGAACAAACAGAACTGATCCCTGCTGGAAAAGGCTGACTATCCAATTTTTTATTTTGGTAAGCAAGGATATTAAAACTATAGGGAGGAAATAAAGTGAGGAACTGCAAACGCAGCAATAAGTGGGCATGTGCTTATCTCTATAGGTCCATCAAGCTTTTTTTGAAAAAGTTACTAAATCACTTTTTGTCGATACTATGATGGGGAGAGGGAGGGAGTGAATTTTGAGAAGGAATATCTACGGACTGAGACAGAGGGAGAGAAGTTTGTGCCTGATGTATAAAGCTTGTGACTGCATATAAGATGTTAGAGTCTAAGACAGAGTAACACGTACGCCCACGTTTGCAAGAGAGCTCGAACGTTTAGACTGCAGATTGTAGGGTTCATCTCATCTTCTAATCTAGTACTGATGGAAAGAGAACGTCCCCATGATACCGTTTCCAAGTGGGAAGAAAAAACTTGAAACACATTCCCTGAAGTAAAAATAAGCAAAGATGACACCAAACTCGCCTTAGCACTTGAAAACCATTTCTTTAAACTGTTAGATAGTTGGACATTTTTATACAACTCTTTCTTAGTTGAAAAACAGGCGTAACCATAATCTTTAGATGCTCAGCAAAGATGGCTAGAAGATGATTTCTAGCCTGTGCTGCCTTATAGGTTCACATATACATCTGTGGAACGCAAATGGGTAAATCTAAAGCAGTATGTTTTTATGCACCTTGATCTTTTTCAAAGATATTTTTGATAGGCGGATAACACTGCGATAATTATAGACTTAAAAATTTCATGAAAAACAGTCAGCTAGAGACCAGTAATGCTCTACAGGAAGGAAGGCCATAATACAAAACTCATTTCCTATTAGACATCAGCAAATCTACATCAGTGAGAGCACTTTTGTAAAAGTCCCTTGATCCAGCAGCCACCAGTTCCCTAGTAGCTGGCTGTTCTTCCAGGTGCCTAGAAGTCTACCAAGCACAGAGGAGCAGATAACCTAGGCATAGGCATAAGCAGAGTGACTCCACAGTGCAATGGATGGGATTAATTTGCTGTGCATGCATTTTGGAGTTGCTCTTTGCCTGTAGAGACGTGCATGGATGTGATCTATCTGTTTGGGGCTAGATAACGCATCAATAAGCAATTTGCTCCAAGCTTTGAGAATCCTGAAGACATGTCTGATCTGTAAACATGTAGATGAGAGGGAGGGGAAGGAAAAGATAAATTCATATCTGCAGAAGAGAGGAAGGATGATGAAGACCGGTAGTAGAAGTCGTTTCAAATTAGCATGCGCTGGCAAAGCTGCAATAAATTCAGTAGTTTAAAAATACAGATTTTTCATTTGATTTACGCAACGCTGAAGGGGCTGTCTGAAGGCTAAGTCACAGCTGGAACAGTGAGGGGTACTGCTAATAAGAGATGAAGGAAATCGAAGCTCTTAAGATTAAGTGAGAATGGTACGTAACAGCGGCTTAGAGCCATCTGGGCTGTGCGGCCCGAAGGAGAAGGAACAAACCCCCACTCTGGAGACCAGCAGCGTGGCCGATAGGAAGCCCGTTAGCTTAGGAAGTTAGGTTTCAAACTGCAAAGGAAACACGACACACTGGTAAGCTGTCCTCTAAGTTTCAAACACATTAGTAAAGCTGGGCATGAGGAACTCTGGGCTGAAAAGCAGGAGAGGGGCACTGGCAGAACTGTGGAGAGCCTGGAATTGATAGAGAAGAACTAAGTAAAGGGCAGAACGGAGAAGATAGTTTTAAATGTTCTTCCCTAAACGTGTTGGTATGAGAGAATTACTCTCAACAGAAAACAGCAGTCATAAATGAACACAGAAAGCTTGAGTAAAAACCTCCAAGCCTCAGAAAAGCTGAACTTGCCCCTTATAGCAATTTACACAAAAATGTTGAGCAAAGATAAAGAACATGGCACCTGAATTCACCATTCTCTGACTTCTGAGCTCATACAATCTCAAACCTTTGCAGCAGTAATATCCTACCCTAAAAAAAGTTCATAATCTTGAAAACTACCTTCCCTCTCCCCAAAATAAACCCAAAACCTAAACCTGGTTTGCTTACAGGGTCAAATATGAAATGAAGACAAAAATCAGTGGAACTAAATCTGATTTGAAAAAGCAGCTGCTTATTCTGAAGTCAGGGTTTCGACTAATCAGAGACTCTCGCCGCTTATCTGTTTCCTATGCGATTGGCTACGAGTATATATGTTACACCCCCAAAACCACTTTTCTCCTCCTTCCCCGCACCTCACTAGCTAACATGTTTTTAAAGAAGACCTTGAAGGGAAGGGTGGGGAGAGATTAGAGCCTTCATCAGAGCAGGGATGAGGACAGCTTGACCAGAAATGGAACTCACTCCCCTTTCGCCCGTGACTGCAGTCACTTTCAACTATGAGTACTACTACGAGGATACCTGCCAGTATGACCATCTGCAACATATGTCTACTTTCCTTCCTGTTCTGTATACTGCGGTGTTCCTGGTGGGCATCGTCGGCAACTCCATCTTAATAGTAGCTTTGGTCTTCAAGCGACGAATCCAGAGGCTGATTGATGTCTTTATCATCAACCTTGCTGCCTCTGACTTCATCTTCCTCATCACGCTGCCATTCTGGGTGGACAAGGAGGCGTCAGATGGGAGCTGGAGGGTAGGCTCTTTCCTCTGTAAAGCTAGTTCCTATATTATCTCAGTCAACATGCACTGCAGCATCCTCCTCCTCACCTGTATGAGTGCAGATCGGTACCTTGCTATCATGTACCCCTCTACAGCTAGGAGGGTCAGAACACGATCCTACTCCAGTGGGCTCTGCATCTGTGTCTGGTTATTATCATGCTGCTTGGGGATGCCAACCCTATTGTCCAGAGAACTAAAGGAGCACTATGGAAAGACATACTGCACAGACAAAGCCATGACAGAGACGAAGCAGATTGCGTCACTGATGATTTTAATCCTGGCCTTCTTCTTCCCATTGTTGAGTATCTTAACCTTTTACTGCTCCATCACCAGGAAACTGTGTGTGCATTATCAAAAGTCTGGAAAACATGATAAGAAACTGAGGAAGTCCATCAAGATCGTCTTCATTGTAGTGGCTGCTTTTGTTATCTCCTGGGTCCCCTTCAATCTCTTCAAGCTTACGGCCATCGTTTTGGGCCTCCTGAAGCCGCCTGAGTGTTTTCCTGACACAGTTGCCCAGCTGGGCATGAAGGTGAGCAGCCCTTTTGCCTTTGCCAATAGCTGTGCCAATCCTTTCATTTACTACTGCTTTGACAACTACATCCGCAGAGCCATGCTCAGGTGCCTGTGCCCATGGGTGAAAATTAGCAGTAGTGGTAACAATTCTGATACTTTGGACACGGGCCTGAGCCATTCCATATCCAATTTTGTCGCGGGGGAGTACGCTGCCAGGAAGAGGAAGCGTTCTGTGTCCCTCTGACTGGGAGTCAAGGCTGCGGAATTTCTCACGCAAGAGCCGGCAGGAAAAGAATAAAGTAAGAAAAGGGGAAAAAAAGGAACGAGCAGAGGGGCAGGTGACATACACTCAGCACTTCAGGTCGGAGGAACACTGCTTCACTTTAAATACAGATGTCTCATATGGAATAGTAAACATTAACCACAGAACTATGGTTCACAAAGATCACTGCGTTATTGCACAGTGTAAATCTGAAACCCTCACTCCGAGAAACATCCACAAATGCTTACAATGGAACCCCAGTAAAACTGACTACAAACTAAAGAAAAACCCATCTGATTCACAGTCAAAGCCTCTCTGAGGCAAGCTTTGACTTGAAATGCACAGGTTTTCATTCAGCCCAGAGCAAGAAAAACACAACACGAGACATGTTTCTTCTTTTTAGTTACCCACAAAAATAACACAATGCCCTCAAAACAATCGGATCAGTTACGTTTATTGGAGGTTTTCTGAATTTAAAAATTCAACATTTTTATGAATTTGTGTGTTACTAGTTCTCATAATTTGTCTTGTGCATTTTTCTTGAAGTCTCAGCTATTTGATTATGAGATTAAATCTCAGTTTTAACTATAACAATCAAAATAAGTTTCTAGCCTTTGTGTTTTCAGAAAAAAGATAACCTGAAGGCAGAGAAAACAGCAGACAAGCAAAAGAAAGCCTATGTTTAAACTTCTTCTAACAAAAACAAAACAAAACATAAAACACCAAAAAAATCACTCATGCTTTTACTGACATGTTTTAGGGGTTCTGATACAATTTCTGACTGCTTGGGTTGATGGTGTGACATTGTGTGCCATTCAAAGTCCAGGTCTGCTTTATGTAAACTGGTTGCAGCTAAATAAAGATGCATACAGCAGGGCTACTTTCTCCAGTTGGAGTCAGAAATCGAGTGCAAGCGTGCCAGAAAAGCAAAATTAGCTTACATTTCACAAACATTTGAATGATTCTCTGTGAATAGTCATGCTGAGAGATCTTAGGTGCAGGAACACTCACAGAAAAGGAATTCAAAAAGACCACCATATTAGTTCATTTATGGAGTTGAACAAGTCTTTAAAAGTTTTGTGGAATTTACAAAGCGCTCCCTCTAATCTTCCATGGAGGCTCATCCCTATCCAGCAGTCTTTGGGAAATGCAGAGGTCTTGCTTTTCATCTGCTGTGGAAAAAATACTGCTTGCCTAACTGGTGTCATGTCTGACAGCTAATGGAACGAGGAAACAGAGAAAGCTCCCCATTTTGAACAGCTGTAGGACATAGGAGATTCACAAGCTGAATACATACGGAACAACGAGTTAAGAAGCTCATCTGAAAACTGTTACTGGACTGCTATAAAGCTGACTATGTGCATTTAAAAAAAAAATCTTTCACATCCTTCTAAATCCCAGTGATAGAAATGTTTGCTTAAAACAAAGAAACCAAGGTACAGTGTTTTAAAGTGCACAGTTAAAGTAAGAGTTAAACTTCCAGCAGCACTGATACCTTTGTTGTGTTGCAACATGTCCCATATTCTGTTGTCTCTATTGTTAAATGCTTAGCTTAACACATTACTGCTTGTTATAAATATAATAAATCAATATTAAAACATCCAGGATGTGTAATGTGAATGAGTTAAAAGATTTTTGGAAACCTTCCTATTTCCTGATTTTTTTTTTTTTTTTAAAGATTTCAATCTCTTTCCTCTTTTGCACTTAGCTTTTGTTGATTTTGAACTGGCTATCATGAAACCCACAATGGTGTTGACTTTAGCAGCAGGAGTCATGTTATCAGTAAGTGATAAAACAACATATTGCAATTCAAGATTTGTTTCCATATAAGTAAAAGATCTTTCATGATACTTATAACCCTGTAAGATAAAGCAAAGTCAACTCTGCCAATGAAAAGAGAGTCAGCAAACATACATCCTGGGGTTTCTTAAAAAAACAAAAACAGCAGCACAAAAAACAAATGCATGTGCAGGCGCATGCACGCACGCGCACACACACACACACACGCAACAAGCTGATAACTTCCACGCAGCCTTTTACATAGCAAATCCCTTGTCATTTTACCGGACAGCAGTGTTTAAAGTTAGATTTTATAAGTTTGGTTCCATGTTCCCTTCTCCCAACTTTGCTATGGAGGAAATAAGCTGGCACACAAATCAATAGTGTAGCTGTCCAGAAGAATTCAGATAAAAGTCTTTCATAAGCAAAAGATGATCTGCAGCAATAGTTCCTAGACCACTTTAAAAGGCTCAATGATCTACAAGTATGTCTAAAAGAATGTCTAAGAAGAAACTCGGAATCTGATACCCTACATTTCTGCTATCATCCCTATGTGGTTGGATACCACTGTGTTTGATTTCATCCAAAAGCCAGCATGGGCATTACATACCATTTTAGCCTGTTTAGATGTTTGCATCAAGCATGCTCTAATGTACGGATCAATATGGAACATTAGGTTCAGTGACAGACATTTCCTTCTGAAGAGTGCCAAGCAGCCACCAGAAAGGAGAAATACTTTTACATTTCACTAAAGCTAAGGGCTGTTTTCTAGGCAATTAAATACATTGACATTATTCCTAGATAGCAATGAGACACTTTACACAGCTGTGGAAAGTAAGCAACTTTTATTCTAGAGCGGTCTCAGGGTAAACAGCCACACATCTAGACCTGCTGCAAGGTTTCAAAGAGAAGATAGCTATACCAGATAGCATACTTCACCAAAAACAGAGAGAGGCATAGGGAAAGCCTGAAGTCCTGACTACTGTCTGGTCAGAAGTGGGAGGAAGGAGGGAGGTAAACTGAACGCTGGAAGAGATACGTCTCTGATGTAACTGGAGCCTAAGTATGTTCACTACAGCTTTTCTTTTCTTTTTGCAATTCTGTATTTAATAGACATCTGTAATAGTGTTGAGTAATTTGGATGTTATGAATAAATGCTGGTATTTGCATTTTTTCCTGGAACCTTGCTGTAGTGTTGCTTAACTGAAGTAGAGAAATCAAGATACACCTCAAAGGGCAATGCAAACCTATACACCATGACAAGGAACCTCTCATCCGACACCTCAGCCCCTTCTCTGCTGTACCCAAAGTCTAACAGAGTGGGTCCTCATTTGAGCTTGTATCAGCCAGGTGGAGAGCTGGCACTATAGGTGTTAATGGAGGCAAAAGCGTCTTTCAGCAATTGTGCGTGACACTAAAGGCTCTCCAGCATGCCGTGAGATACTGGGATACATGCGTGGGTCACAAAAGGAATGGCACAAAGAGATGTATTAACTTTTTTGCATGGATATTTTCTTCCCCATTATTGCTTTTAAACAATTTTCTTTTTTTCCCCTCTACACAAGAGATTTTTCTCCACACCAAATTCCTTTTTCAGGTTCACAGATGCATAAAGAACATTTCCAACTGCATTTTCAAACCTTCCAGGGTTTGAAAATCCTAAGAGTGTCAGTTCGAATGTTCATCTTATTCGTAGTTACCGTCAAAAACTCAAGGAGCCTAGCGTCTCAATAATTTCTTCTTAATCTCTTATCTTCCCTCTACTTTTACCAGTACATAACAAGTAACTTATTTTTTTAACCAAAAAAAAGATACAAGTCTGAGACTTGCATACCAGATAGCCTATGATTTATACTGTAGAAAGTAGTATACATCTTATTTTAAAGTTTTGTTAGCAAGTCAGACTCATCCATTATTTCCCTCTGCCTCAATCTTCACATAAACCATAGCAATCGCTTTGGAATAAAATCAGTCTAAAATAACTTCAACTATTTTTAGTTAGGGTGTCTTCTTCTTTTTTTTTTTTTTAAATACTCCAAAACATCAGATTAAATTGGAACCTATTCAGCAACCTAGAAAATCTACGAAGATCTCCACCCATTACCTGAAGCTTCAGTATTAGCCTCTGAAAAAAACAAACGAACTTTCTGAATATCACAAGGCTTGAAGAGGATCACACAGAAGCGTCACAAGAAATGTTTCACTTGCGAGGAAAAAAAAATACAAAAGCAGCAACTAATTCGATGAAACTAAAGTCTTTAGATTCAGTTAGGCTGTAAAAAAAGAAGGTACAGAAGACTGTACCCTGTGAAGATGCTTATTCTACTCTTGCAAAATGCAAATCTATTTGATGTTTTCATGACTTAATGTAAATACTGTTTTCAATTATTGTTTCCAAATAAAAGGCAAGCTGTGCTTGCACAAACTTACTTCTGGAATTTTGACTATTCCTTGTTAATAATCATTATTCAATCCAGCCTAGCACAACACCAAAATTACCATGATTTCAAATACTTAACCTGGCAGACTGAGTAAAGCAACAGGATGACTATTTTATCTGTGTTAAAAGAGCTTAATGACTGCAGACTGGTTTGCTCTGTGAAACAGAAATGGTGCAATTCTGCTACGACACCTGCCACAAATCTTGGTAAGTAATTTGGACTGCTTTTTTTCATGATTTTAAAATAAACCATTTATGATTCCAGCTAAGAAATAAGATTTTTAAAATCAAATTTCTCCTTTCATTGTCACGAAAATTAACAAAGCTATACTAGAAAACCTGTCAGCATATCTGGGCGGGAACATTTATCTGCCCATCCCACAAAGCTTTTGTGATTTCAGAGATGCTTTTGGTCTGCCTGGGAATGAAATCAAGACGTTTTGAAGTTTTTCATGAAAACAACAACAACAAACATTCTAGAGATTAGTGCACTTTCCTGAGATGCGCCATCAAAGTTCAAGTGCCTCTGCTTCTTGATAAAAATCACGACCTTGTCAGATGCATCCCCAACTCCATTTTGACTTCAACGAATCAGTATTTTTCCAAGAAAAACTGTTTCATCTCGACACAAATAAAAATTGTACCCAAATCAGATGCTTGTTTATACGGGCAAGGATTTCATTTCAGTGCCAGCTGCTGTAACATCAACAGCTACACAGCAGCTGAGTAGTAATTCAATTCCAGGGGACTGGGTAGAAAGTCA